CATCCAGGTCTTCCCAAGGTGCTGAAGGGGCACACTTTGGCATAATGGTGAAAGGTAAGGAGTTGACGGGGGAGGGTGAGTGGCCAGAAGCCCAATGAGGCCTTTGAGTAGGTCTTATGGAAAGGAGGAGCTTACAGGATGGAACCTACAAGATGTGACCTCACTTCCTTGCTGACAGACCCCAACAGAACTTAGAATTCTGGTAACTAGGCACCCATATTATACACACAGCCCCATTTCCAGCTCAGTTGGTAGTTGACACCCAACAGAACAACATGTTCTCTTGCTGTGTCCCGACGTGCTGTCGACCTCCTCGTCGCAGAAGAGGCCAAAACGAGAGTCTTTCTCGAGAATATAGACATTGGTTCAACCCTCACCCTCGACGCCCCTGGCCGTTTGCCAGAAGGCACCCACAGGTAACACAGGGCCCAGGGCAGGCCCATCCAGGCCAGGCCTCAGCTGTGTCCATCAGGGCAGTGCTGAGCCCCTCCCCATGTGTTTGGGGGAAACAGGAGAAGAGGGGCCCTCCCTGGACAGGAGCAGGTAGGTTGTTGGGGGTTTGGAGCCTGGTAGGTATGTCAGGTTCACAGCCCAGACCATGCCTTCAGGATGGGAAGGTGAGTGTCGAGGACACAGTTTGTCTGCTCAGATCTGAATTCCAAGACCTCAACCTGTCATCCGCCGGAGACCTCAACCTCCTCTGGCTGGAGGTGTACGCAGATGCTCCTGTGTGCCAAATCCTGTTGGGGAAGGGGGGGCCAGGGAGGAGTTCTAATGGGGTATCCCACTATGGGGTCAGCCAGGCAGGCCACTGACACGTCTTCGCCTGGCTCACTCTCTTTGCAGAGCTCCACACAGCAGATCAAGCAGGAGCTGTTGGATGGATTCCATTTCTCCATCTTCTTCAAAGAAGGGCAGGGGCCCCCTGCTACCAACCACGGCCAGTGCTGGTCTGGGGTGAGACTGGGCACAGAAGGGTCTCCACAGACAGGGACTCCAGAAAACCAGGGTGGGCCCAGGACTCAAACACAAATATGGGGACTCCCTAGGCTCTGTTCTAGGGCTTTCACACTTGAGTGAGCCACTGTCCTCTCCCAAAGGAATCTGGCTGCCATTAGTCCCCTGTGGCAACTTGGTTACAGGCAAAGTCCCTTTCACCTATCAGAGGAAGATCAGAGAAAATCCTTCTGTTTTCACTTTCTGCTATGCCAGGAGTATCTCAGCATGTTGCTAC